CCAATCGAGCATCTGTGGGATTAGCTGGACAAACAAGTCCGATCTATATGGGTCGCACCTTGCAACTTAAAGGACAACTGTGGACTCTGCTGTTGACATCTTGGTGTCAGATACCAGAGGACACCTTCAGAGGTCTGTGGAGTCCATGCCTCAACAGGTCAGAGCCGTTTTGGCAGCAAAAGGGGGACCTACACAATATTAGGCAGGGGTTCATAATGTTATGGCTGATTGGTAAATGATACGGCAAGACAAGACTCCATCAGTCAAAACGTACTCTTTCTCCTGTATGTGAAGGGCTTGCATTTCTTGTTCCGTGCCTCCTGGTTTGTGACTAAATCAACTGGAAAACACAATAAAACACCTATAACTTTTATAGAGTCATAGACATCTATACATGCACATATAAGTGTTGCCAAGCACCATCAGTTGCTCCTAGTTGTGGCAGACTAGAGGTGTTAAAACAAACAAACAAACAAAAAGGTAGACTTGTGATGGAAAGGTACAACAGACTGACTTGGGTGCATTAAGCCAACTCTCTGCACTCTACATACTGTAGCATTACAGCTGTTTGAATTAACATAGCCTGTTTACCGAGTCCCGGTGGCTCTTGGAGTTGGTAGTCCATGAGCTCGCACCAGCCGACTGGGTAGATGTCTGGAGACTGGTGGTCGAACCACTGGTCAAATTCATCTTCCCAGCCATCAAAGTGGATAAGCAACAGTCGGCCCACGCAGCGCCTCACAGTGGCCACACACAACAGGCGTGGCTCCATCAGGTCTACTGCCTCCAGCTTCATGTTGGGGGAGAAGCCGTGCCCTGGGTAGTCCTGAGGGAAAACAAACAGTGGGTTCATATGCTGTTTGATAACGTTTCTTGTGGTACCAAAATAAAACTAACTAATAAAAGGTTTCATACCACCAATATCTGGGAGTATATATTTACAGAAAGGGACTGTTTTATGTGTACAAATTGGGCGTGTTGTTAAAAAATTTAGTTTGGCCTTCCCGTCTTACAGCATTGAACAGTCGTACTGGTGCAGCTTTAGCACTGGTCTCCTTCAGGTATTTGTCCCATGTGAAGGTCTGAGAGTCATAACCTGCCACAAAACAGACATCATAAAATTACTATCATCAACATGATGCTGCTCAGCTATTTCCTGTCTCCTTTGTTTTTCTGCATAGCACTAATCAATACACATGGTCAGCATCAGCAGAACAAAGCACGAGCAATGGAGGCAAAATGCTGAGCTGAATTAGAGACTAAAAAAACAGACAAAGGGCAGTTTAGATTTACCCTGAGGTACAGTGAGAGGGATGTTGTTCTTTTCACAGAAGCCTACAGGAAGGATAGCATGAGAGGAGGCATGGTAACAAAACCAATCAGAGCCATTGTTCAATATGGTGCCGTCAATACCAACCATCAGGTAGCCATCTAACAGTACCTAGAGGAACAGAGGGGGAAGGAGGCAGCAGAGGCATGGGTGTAAGAGTTGGTGTGTTTAGGTAGATGACTTTTACACTGGCTAAAAAAAAAACAAACCCAAACAGTTATGTTACCTTGTGTACAGTGGCCACACAGATACTGCCCAGGTTGAGAGGGTCAATTGCCTCAAGCTTCATTCCTTCTTCAAAGAAACTTCCTTCCATGTAAACGATTCTAGGCTAAGAATCACACAGTGGTTATCAAGAGTTGCTCTAAAGAAGCGCTTTGCAGTGTCTGTGTTTCCATAGGTGGAGTGCAAATTGTTTCATCAACAGACAGCTAAATATCCACCATCACTTATTTTTACTATCATGAAATACAGACCAAAACATGCTTACAGTCTATATATCATCACATCTAAAGAGTTTCAGAAAACAGCAGTGCTATCCTGTGTGGATTTCCTGCTGGGGTTCTAGTGTATATACAGCTTAACAATACATAAAACACAATAAAAAGCAGTTTACTAAGTATTTCTTAACCAATAACATTTCACCTTTTTGAAGAGCAGGAACATATTGTCAGAGCTGACCCTCACACCACTGGCAGCAGCTTCCACACTGTTAGCTATATTAAAAACAAGACCATTATATTAATTGCCTTATTATTATATTAAAGTTGAGCCAATACCAGGAGGTGGAAAGAAGGCTATACAGTATGTATTCAAAATCCTGGACTTACCAGGTGCTTTAATGGCATGACCGATTTTTTCTGACCAGCCTACTGGGTGCAGGAGGGGACTCCACATGTGGCACCAGAAATCTAAGACGACGTTCTCAGGGGCGTCGCTTTGGTCAGCGTACACCAGCCGCAGACGGCCACCAATGACTGAGTCTATGATGGCCACACGGGTACGGCTAATGTATTTAGGGTCCACCACCTCCACATGCATGCCTACACTGAAAGGGCTCTTCATGCTTTCAGCCAGCTGCAAAGAGGAATTCCATAACAGGAATGAATTCAGTAAAATTAAACAATGCTACTCTTCACATGTACAAGATCAAAGATTTTTTATTGTCAATTCACTATATGTGCAGGACATACAGAAAATCGAAATACCGTACAACACAGACGGGTTACCATTTATGAGTCAAACCGTCACGTCAGGCATCATCCAGTTTTACCTTCAGGTAGAAGTCAACAGGTAGAGTGTGGGCTCCCACCAGCTTTTTCATCAGATACTCTTTCCAATCTGGGATGTTCTGCTTCACATCTATGCACACAATTTATCATATCAGAACATGTCCTACTGTTAATACAGCTAATGTTGGCCTACCAAAACATATTTTAATCATTTTGATATAAAATTGTACTCTCTTTTCTTTATGTGCTGGCCCAAAGTGTTTGCATAGCAGTGTGACCCCAGCTCCATGCTGGCCCAAAGTGTTTGCATAGCAGTGTGATTCAGGTTTGTATGTCAATCCTCACCTTGCGGCGGCACCGGCAACTTGCTCGTCATGGCGCACCAGCCAATCGGGTTCCTGAAACAAGGCTGCACCAAAAATCATGGCTGCTGTCCTGCTCAAAGCCTTCATATCTTAACAGGGCTTTGTATCCTGGAGACAAAGAAGGGGAGGAAGCCAAAATAGAAATGTTACTGCTTAAATTCAGGCCAATATATACCCTTTTTAAAAGATGAGATATTGTGAAGCAGACTCATTATGACCTCTATTTAGTGCTGGGTAAGAATTAAAGATACATTATAGATGATCAGCACAATCAAATTCTAAGTGATAAAACAGATGGTTCCTTGCTCTAATAGCCTGTAAAATAAGCACTGACAGACAGATGTACACACCTGCAACCTGGATAACAGTAGCGATCCAATAGACTTTACTGGGAAGGACAGCGTTGGTGTTCAGGACTTCCACCTTCATCCCTACGATGATGTCATCCCACTGGGCGCACAGTGGAGCCTGCAAAGTGGAAGGTCAGATAAAGCCTTACTTTATTACTTCCTTAGCTTAGTTCCTTCCTTCCCTTATTTCGTGTTTTACACTGATTCATTTGGAAAGTACAGTATTTTGATTTTACTAAATATCAGGAATCAGCCGTATCCACCTTCGATATGATGGACACCTTTTCTTGCTGCTCTCTGCTTATTAAATAATCTATATTGTAAGTAACAATCTGTCTCTTTCGGCTGTTCCTGTTCGGGCTCGCCACAGCAAATTGTCACACTGACGACTCGCATGTTGAAATTTGGCACGTGTTTTACACTGGATGCCCTTCCTGATGCAACACTGACTTAAACCCGGGCCACAGCGGTGAGAGCGCTGAATCCTAGCCACTAGTCCAACAGGGACCCAAATTGTAACAATACCTAACATAATACATACACACCATACAGCAAAGCACATGTGAAAAATATAAACTGTAGGAATGTAAAGATAAACAGATACAAATTGGAAAATCAATACAAGAGACAGATTTTTCAAAAATTTGTTTAAAAAAATGGTCTAAAATAGATATAGACCTCATAAACCAATCTTTGGCAAGTTTTCTGTTACTTATTGCTGTGCTCCACTCTAGTATGTGCCTTTTGCACATGTGTGCGTGTGTACACACCATCTCCTGTCTGTGGTCAAACACACCTCCTTAACAACACAGGTCCAGGAAAAGTGCAGCGCACAGTACAGATAGCTGCAGAACTAGTTCTAGCAGATACAGAGCATGCAGCGCTTGTGTCGGATATACCAGAGGGACACGGGCCGGGCTAGTAGTGACGTTACGAAGGCCACACATTGTTGAAGCGATGGAAAGAGTATAGGTAGCTGTGAGTCAATCAGCTTGAGGTAAGTAACAGTGCTAGTGTTAGCAGCTACTTTCAGAGCACATCAATGATATCAATAACTGAAGCTTAAGATATTTCATTTGCAAGGATGTGCATGTGTTGTTGAAAATGTGGGATTGGGACAAATAACAGTGACTCTGAAGCTGAGGCACATAATAACACGTCAGCAGGATTTAGGTGAAAATGCATTTCAGCTCTGTATGATAAGGAGAAACAGCACATAGAGGTTTACTGTTCTAATTACACCTCCGAGACCAGACTCACATGTCTGAAGCAGGACACAGACGCAGCCAGAGATGATTCCCTCTCCAGGTAGGTACCCCAGTCAAATCCTGCAGCAGATGCTACAGAATGGAGAGAAGAAAGGAATCTGAGCTTTGTCTTTGCTGGATAAATCAATACACATCACCCACTGTTTGGCCTGCTAACTTTATGGCCATGTCCAGATACATTCAGATCGTGGCTACAGCTTATTAGGGCTAATTAAAGCTCACAGCTAACATCAAATTGCACCTCAAATCATTGGCGGGTGACCTGTGGCATTTAATTCCATCTGTGAAAAACAATAACTGCACCTACAGTGCCTTGCAAAAGTATTCATACCACTTTCATACCAACTTTTCCCACATTACAACCACAAACTTAAATGTATTTTATTGGGATTTCATGTGATAGACCAACACAAAGTATTGCATAATGGTGAAGTGGAAGGAAAATGATATGTGGTGTTCAAGATTTTTTACAAATAAAAATCTGAAAAGTGTGGCGTGCATATGTATTCAGCCCCCTTTACGCTGATATCCCTAAATAAAATCTTGTGCAACCAACTGCCTTCTGAAGTCACCTAATTGGTAAACAGAGTCCACCTGTGTGTAATTCAATCTCAGTATAAATACAGCTGTTCTGTGAAGGCCTCAGAGGTTTGTTAGAGAACATTAGGAGGCTGCAAAAGACTTGGGACTAGGGCAGAGGTAACATGACAAAATGTGGAAAGGTTCAAGGGGTATGAATACTTTTGCAAGGCACTGTATATAGAAAATGTAAAAAGTACACAGGGTCAGGAACTACATGCACTTTCCTTTATCTGTATTCCACTGAGCTGGAGCAGCTGACGTTCCTGCATCAAGTCCAAGCTTATGTACTATAGACATTAATTCATTCTGTATTTTACCATGGATATTAACTCTCTAATGCACTGCAGGTATTCATTTTAAATGATTTGCATGTGTGTATTGCTGCTATTACCATGTCCTGCTGGGATTAGCGAGGCTTTGTTCACCGCAGTAACCTTTTTTAAGGGGGGCTTCCCCTGTAGAGACAAACAACACACACACACAAAAAAGAGACTATAAAACATGCCACATCCTCTCATTTTAAAGGCAAGTTAATTCTAGAAGCCAGTTGAAGCACAAACAGCCATATGACTATTTTGTTTCACACGGCTGGCATAAAGAATGAAAGATAAGATACTTTGTCATTGCATATCAAGACAGTGAAGGAGGAGAGAAATTATTCATGATCCAATCACTGCTGTCCAAGGCCTAAACTTATGACAGTTTGACAAATTCTGGTTGCATTTCCAAATATGTAAAAAGAACAGTGGCACAAAATTCCCCGTGTCTGTCGTAGGCCGTTCCATGCATGCTAAGACTTTAGTTGTTGAGAGGTTCATACGCGAGTGAACAAAGAAAGACTAGTGGCAGTTTTACACACACCAAACAGATTTAACATTTGACTAAAGTCAGACTTTGGGACAAATTTCACTGCCAGTCAACGCGTCTTCCCACAAAACTTTCATCAGGATTAACAGATCTGGCAAATTATCTATTTGACTTGACTATTTACTGAAAATAATAGTTTTCTGTAATCAAATATTTCCACTTATAATGCTTTAGAAAACACACAAGAACTATAACTGGACAGCTCAGACTCTGGCTGCCACTAGTGATTAATCTCTCTGTTAATATTCTCAGTTACCAATTAAACGTGCCAAACAGTGGGTGAGTATTCATATGGAAGGTCCATGTTCAGGTGAAATGATTTGGCCCCAGAGCAGGGTATCAGGCCATGCAGTCATAAATCTTCAGGGCCCCAAAACAAGCAACGGCATTTTCCAACTAACCGATTCTAAAATGTACACAGATTTTACAGACGCCATTAAATGGGCAAAAAGAAGCCCAACATGTTGACTAAAACCCACTGGTATGGTTAAATATACTGAGTAGTAACAGGCCAGCCCAATTAATCAATTTATCTTTGGTGCATAAAATGTCAGAAAACTCCAAAACTAATTTTCCAAGAAACATGGTTGTTTTTAAATGGTTTCTTTTGACTGTCCAAGAGTTCCAAACTCATACTTAGTCAGTTTTCTGTCACAGAGGACCAAACAAAAACAGCAAATACTCACATCTGATAAACTGGAGCCAATGGGTCTTTGTCACTTTTGTAAAGAAAGTAACTTAAAATGAACAATTGATTATTTAAAAAAAAGATATGCAGTTTTGGTTCTAGTAAATATGGATTAAGTCTAAAGCAGAAACCTAAATACCACAATGTTGTTCTAATTTTATGTTCGCCTTGAACTTGTTTTTAGCATCAATATCTGTCTTTTCTGGTTTTGTATGAATGGTTTGTGTCCTTGTTACATCGCCATCTTGTCTTTGTCATACATGTTTTCTACTTTATTGGTAAAGTAGAATAAGAAGATGCCGTTCCCCAACAAACTCACCAGCTGGTCCACATAAATGACGCTGGCGGTGGGACCACCTGTCTCTGAGGTGTGCGTGTGTCTGAACTGGGTGGGGACAGCGTTGGGCTTCAGGAGCCGGCCCCGGCGGGACGGCTGGTTCGCGGCATCGTAGTAGTCGTCGTGCTGAAAATGCTTCTGGCAGACGAACAGCTTGCTAAGGATGTGGAGCGGAGTTTTTACATCCATGTTCAGAGCAAACAGCCATTGTCTCAGTCTCTCCGCGTCCCCGAGTGGAAACCGATGAAAGGTGAGGTTCGCCCGTTTTGTGTTCCAGCAACTATCAACGCAGCACTTGTGGACCATTGTAGGAGTTTTAATCAAGAAAAATTAAGCAGACGCGAATGGAGATTGTACCGACCTGGGGAAACGAAGATTTCAAGCGCAGCGCGATGGTTTTCTTCTTCTCGTCCCAGTTTTTCTGCAGTGGCGCTTGGATAACAGCTTTCTGGGAGATGCTGCCGCCACTCGTTCGTAATTATGAATACAAACAGGTGACAAAGTTAAACCTGAATAAACGAGTGGCCTCTTCCAGGATGACAGTGCCTCCATCCACAGGACACAGGGGGTCACTCGGTGGTTTGATGAGTATCAAAATGATGTGAATCATATGCTATGGCCTTCACAGTCAACAGATCTCATCCCAGATGAACACCTATGGGCAGTGGTGGAAGAGGTCAGATCCCTTACTTGAGTAAAAGTAACAATACCAGTGTAAAAGTGCTGTTATAAATAACAGTCCTGCATTCAGAATGTTACTTAAGTAAAAGTACAAAAGTATCTAGTAGCTAAAGTCATAAAAATGTAGTGGAGTAAAAAGTACAATATTTCCTTCTAAAATGTAGTGAAGCCAAAGTATGAAGTAGCACAAAAAGAAAATACTCAAGTAAAGTTCACATTCTTCAAAACTCTACTTAAGTACAGTACTTGAGTAAATGTACTTAGTTACTTTCCACCACTGCCTGTGGGAGATGTTGGAGCGATGTGTTAGACAGCATCTCTACCTCCATCATCAAAACACCACATAAAGGAATATCTTTGGGAAGACTGGTGTTCATCCCTTCAGCAGAGTTCAGAGACTTGGAGAGTCAATGCCAAGGGGCAATGAAGGGGTTCTGGTGACAAGGTGGCCTAACACCTTACTAAATTACTTTATGTTGGGGTTTCCTTTCATTTGCCTGTACAGCAACAACATCTGTTTTTGTGCTTCAATAGAAAGAAATCCTGGAAATCCTTTATGTCAGATTAAACTTCTGGTGAAAGTTGTATAAAAACTATTAATCTGATGAAATCGTGCAGCCATTTTGGGTTAACTATTGCACTCAGTGGAAACGTGATATAGCTTCGAACTAGAGCTGAAACAACCAGTCAACAGGCAGAAAATTTTGATGATCAATTCATTTTCAAGCCCCGATTTAATAGCACGTTTGTCAACCTTTAAAACAGAAATTCGATACTAATTAAAAAGCTTACTTACACAGGTCAGTAAATACAGGCTATAAACACTATTTGAGTGCCTATATCCTACCAACAAAATGTCTTAGTTTGCCAACACTGAACTGACTGAGGTTTTTGTTGTTGCATTGTCAATGAAGAAATATTAATTGACTTTGTTCTACAAAAATGTATTTACAAAAACATTTGAAGCAAAAATTGCAAATAAAGGAAGTGCTTGTACCTGTAACCAGAGTTTTGTGTATGGTTCATGGTAATGCTGGAGCACTGACTAGGCTGAGGTGACATCACAGGACTCTAAAGACCCCAGGTTGACAGTGTCCATTAGTTGGTCATAATTTGCTTACACATATTTGTTTGGAAGTATTGGAAGACTATTGTTTTTGTACTGTACTCTTGTATTAAAATCAGTATTAATGGATATTTGTCTTCTGTCTGTTTTGGTGATTTATACATGTGTTTATAGATGTTTTAATACATGTTTTTGCCTTTGCATGCAAGGAGCTCTCATTTGTCTTCATCTTCTTTCTTTATTGTAACCCCCAATGATTGGGGCCTGAGCAGCAAAGTGGAGTTGTATTTACTGCTATCACCTCACAACAAGACGTTTATGGATTTGAACCTACCAACCTGCAGGATTCACCTGCATGTTCCCCCTGTACCTCCAATGCCAGGCTCTATCTGCTTCAACATATATCTATAACTAGAATTATCGCTTTGTAGTTGTATCCTCCGCCAACCAGTCAAATTCATGGAAATGATAGGCATGAGGTCACTGACCTTGACCTTTGACTTTCAGCCACCAAAAAGTTGTATAAAAACTATTAATCTGATGAAATCGTGCAGCCATTTTGGGTTAACTATTGCACTCAGTGGAAACGTGATATAGCTTCGAACTAGAGCTGAAACAACCAGTCAACAGGCAGAAAATTTTGATGATCAATTCATTTTCAAGCCCCTATGCTAAGCATCCCCTAGTTCCAGTTTCTCAAATAAATATTTGCTGCTTTTTGTCTTATTTGACATTCAAGTGAATATCACTGTTTTGCACTGCTGATTGGACAGAACAAGCAAAGTAAAGACATCATCTTTGGCTTCAGGAAACTGTGATGGGATTTTTTTAAACAGCTTTTTGGACATTTAAGATTAACTGGATAAACCAGAAAATAACTGACAGGAAATAAAAGTATTCAAGATGATTAATTAGGGTTAAGAAATCATTACTTTATGATTTGCACACCACCACCTGTAATTTGATGAGGTAAAATAGTCAGATCTCACTAATGCAGCCTGAATGGATTAATATTGCCCTGTTTTAGGGTGAATATTTGAAGTACAAACACACACACACACACACACACACACAAAGGACTTAATCCTGTTGCATTAAAAAATGACACAAGTCAAAACCCACATCCCCTATAAGTCTTGACAAAATTTGTCACTTTTTCTATTTCCTTTTAACTAAATGTATAACTATTTTAACTAAATATTCTTGTTTCACTCTGTACTCTCACCTGTCAAGCAAGAAATGGTCTGTTGATTTGCAGTTGCTTTTAAAGTGCAAGTGTCACATTTAATTCAGTTCAGTGATGACACTTTGCACAGGTAAGTGTACTCCACCCTGGTGGAAAAGACTCTATAGTATTAATACTTCCAATTTAGACAGAGGCTGCTCACTTCAAGGTGGCTGGACAGCACTTGTGCCTGATATAAGAGGAATGCTGAAGCTTTCAAACACCCAAAAAGTTGGCCTAATTACTTAATTAAATAAAGTAATTAACTATGACTGGTGCTCACAGTGTTCAGCAGTACAACAGTAGTTGTGTAAAACAGCAGATAAGTTCAGCAATTTTTTGAAGAATGAAATGTTAAGTTTTTTGATGAAAAATATCACAAGGCAGCAAACAAATTTATCATTCAGCGTTATTTCTGGGCGACAATACACATTTTTTCCTCACCCGCAGTGTGGAGGTCTTTTTGGAGTTTGATGAATAGGAGCATGAGCAAGATGTAGAGCAGAAACGCTTGGTCTTCTTCAAAAAGAAGGTACTAATATTGCCAGTTGTGCCACACATCTCACACACCACTGTAAAACAAAAACATACATATGCTCACACACAGATATATAAAATGTATCTATGAAAATGCTGTACTCTTTGCCTTTGGTCTCTATCTCATTTGCATTTCACCTGGTTCTTCTATTTTTTCATCAAGGTTCACTCGTCTTCCTGCCAGATGTTTGTCATCACTTCCTCCATAATTGCCATCAAACTGAATGGGAGCCATTTCATTGTGTTTGGCCTGTAAAGAGAAAAAAAAAAAAACCTGAAAAGTCAGTAAAATGAACATGAGCAGGAGCTCTGTTTCTCTCTACAGTGACCCATCCTGGTCCATGAGAAAACCTACTCACAGTAATGTTATGCTTTCTTGGCTCAGCTGCAATGCCCCTGTGCTGGATAACAGGCAGGCAGTTACTACAGCCCACTCCACTGCACAAGGGACAGTGTGGACGGATGAACACTGTGGGAACAGCTCCCGGTTTCAGCTTTACAGTCCCCGTGGCTGGTCTGGACTCAAAGTACTCTTTGCCAAAATGCTCACTGCAGAGGTAAGAGTTGGGTGTGGCAATCCAATGGGTGCGGATGCGCTGGACCTGCTTCTCCCATTTGCGAAATTCCTCAGGGTCCCTGGGGAATTTAAACAGTGTCGCACCATCTTCTGCAGTTCTGCCACATCCATAGGCCACACAGTGGTAGGGCATCCCGTCTTCTCAACTGGAGGACACTCAGTGCCACAGAGTCCAAATCATGACCTACAGCTATTGCATCCTTTCTTCTTTTTAGGGCATCTTTCTATGAGCTCTGCTGAGAAATGTCATTGATTGTATGTTACAACTTGCAGACACCGTTTCAACCCCACTAAAGAAAATGCACATTCATTTTTAGGTGACATCAATTTCAAAACTAGAGATGGTCAGCTGTGGAAGATGCAGGTAAAACTAAATGACAGACAATATAATATTTATGGTGATATTTTTCAGTATTTCTTGGCTACTGAATTACAGTTAAATTATACAACTGACTAAAATTAATGATGAAAAATACCTCTACCTGCTTGACCAGTGTATTCAGGAAAGATGGTTTCTCTATTTTCTTTCCTCATGTGTAACTTATACATGATGAAAAATGAATTGTGTGAAAATATTATTGGGCTATTGATAATTAGTTGGTTAGTTAACAATTTGGTATTTCATTTTGTCAGTAATATTAAGATATAAACACAGTCTAACAAGTACAACAGGCAACCAAATGTTATTATTAGGCAAGACGTATTTCTACACACTAGAACTAATGCAGTGTATTCGGCAAAGTAAAAGTCATGACCAGCTAAAACAGATGCAATAATGTTAAACTTACTCCTACGTTACTGCATGTGCAAAATGTTACAGTTAACATGTTAATAAGCATGCTAGTCAAAGCATACAAGTACATACTGTGCATGTAAGCTAGGTTAATAGTGCTAATAGCACGTTTGTCAACCTATAAAACAGAAATTCGATAATAATTAAAAAGCTTACTTACACAGGTCAGTAAATACAGGCTATAAACACTATTTGAGTGCCTATATCCTACCAACAAAATGTCTTAGTTTGCCAACACTGAACTGACTGAGGTCCCCTACCTTTGACGTCATCGCAGCCTAGATTGCTACGCACCGACTAGGAATTATGGGAGTTGATGTTTTAGCAGAATTGGACGAAAATCATCGCTCAGTCATTCTCCAAAACACAAATACTGTAAATGCATGTAGAGGCACCCTTTTGTTAAGATGATGGAGTGCATCATTTGCTAATAATTAAAGTAGAAGTTTTTGTTGTTGCATTGTCAATGAAGAAATATTAATTGACTTTGTTCTACAAAAATGTATTTACAAAAACATTTGAAGCAAAAATTGCAAATAAAGGAAGTGCTTGTACCTGTAACCAGAGTTTTGTGTATGGTTCATGGTAATGCTGGAGCACTGACTAGGCTGAGGTGACATCACAGGACTCTAAAGACCCCAGGTTGACAGTGTCCATTAGTTTGTCATAATTTGCTTACACATATTTGTTTGGAAGTATTGGAAGACTATTGTTTTTGTACTGTACTCTTGT